GAGAGAGGAATTGAAGAGGAGTTTGCAGGGAGGAATGGAAAGAGGGGTGAGAGGTAAAGAAAGAAGTGAGAATAGAAATATAGAGAGGAATGGAGGCAGAAGTAGGGAGAGAGAAGTAGGAAAAGAAGTAGAGAGGTACGCGATGAAAGTATGCAGAGAGCTGCAGGGAGAGAAATAGAGACAGAAGTAGACTGAGAAATAGAGGAAGAAACGGACAGAGAAATGTAGAGAGAAACAGAAAGACAAGTAGACAGAGAACCTGAGGGAGAGAGGGAGAATCAGAGAACAGTGCGCGTTTCCCACGGACCATGTTCCTCGGTGGCATATCCATCGAGACCCGTAGGTATCCCCGGCACGGTCGTTGGTAACGCGTTGGCAAATTAATTCAATCAATTAATAGGCGCTTAAACGAACGCGTGGCGTCGCGCACACCGGCGAATAAGCGGGCCTCGGTGGCGCGGCTGATATCGAAGCCACCCACGCGAAACGATGCCCTGTGGTTCGCACCTACGCGCACTCGTGCAACCGCGCGAATCTACGCCGTCGCCGCCGCCGTGTTTCGCGAGCCAATCGATACCGGTGCCATCCCTCGGCACCGCCATTTTATTTCGCGGCAAGCCCTTTTTCGCTCGTATCGCTGTCGCCGGACAACCGATAACGTTCGGCCGATCGTCTCGCCTCTGTTCCTTTCCTCCCTCACGGAAATCGCTTCTCCTCTCGAATAACGACGAATCCTTCGTCGATACCCACCTACGAGCAGAAATACGTTTCCTGTGCTACAACGCTGCAACAACCTCTACATTCCACTCAACAGTCCTCGCAATATCGACAACGGATCGCTAACAGCGCAGCAGCGATTCACGTTACACAAAATGTCCACTGGAACTCAACACCGTTACCTTTCTTCCTGCGTATCGACGATCAGCGTAGCAATTACTCACAAACACTGCCCCGTAACTAGCTCGAATATAAATCAATCATTCGTGTCTCCCTTTCTGCAATCAACAATCGCCAGCGACCCGCTCGGAAACCGATCCACATTATCCTGAAACCGTTCAATTCCCTTCATCGCGCGGAAACGCGCGAACGAACGAGTCGTCGAGCCGATGGAACGGGGAAAAACGTTACTCGACGTCGTCGTCGTCCTCGTCGTCGTCGTCGTCGTCGTCGTCGGTGAAAGAGAGGGAGGGGAGAACCGTATTCCACGACAAGCGGCGCAATCTAAACGAGCGATCGGGATCGGATCGAGATCCGATAATCGAGTTGTTGGCACCTGTGGCAGCGGACATAATTAATGTCGGCTAGGTGCTACCGACTGCCTCCCCTCCCCTCCCCGTGCTCGGGCTGCTCGTTAATTCCCGGCGGGACATTACCGGGCAAATTAGGCGAGCGAGCGAGCGAGGCGAGGCGAGCCAGGTATCCTTCTCCCGCTCGTTTCCGCTCTCCCTCCAGCGGCTTTTTCTCCCGCCGGTTTTTTCGGCCGCCTTCCACGCCGCGAAACATCGAGCGTGAATAAAGAAGACGCGACCCGGCCGCCAGGAAGTGGGCGTATCCAGCTTTCGGGAGACACGCGAAACGAGCGGAATACGTTTGAGGACTCTTTTAGCGCCGCTTCCGGGGGCCCGGCTGTTGATTCGTCGTTAACCGGTTGCCCTATGACTCTTTCCTCGACTGCGCTCGGTCTAGTCCTCGGCACGTGTTGCGTACGTGTTCGCTCTGGGGCATGGTAATCGACGGACGGAAGATGCTGTTTTGTTAGTGGCCGATTGGAAGGAGACTAGCTCTAGGCATCTGCCGGGAATATTTACTCTGAAGTGCAACGATTGACAACGGAGGGTTCACGCAAATGCCATGGTCATCGGCGACCTCCGACCGAATCTGATTATATAGTTCACTCAGTTACGATTGTTTGAGAAGATTTCTATATAAATAACGCTGCCCGATTCGGTCAGCTAGATGAGCATGCAATGATAATGCAGTTCTGATGATTTGATATTGTATGTTTTCCATTTGGGTACTTTGCGATAGGAAATCGTTTCATTCGACGTGTTAACAACTCTTTTGAATGCAGGAGTACTGGATAATGTTTATGTTTACTCGATTCTATGGGAGATCTTCGTCACGAGTCTGACGGTGTTATGGAACAAGGAGTTAATCGAATTTTTTCGGTTTTGACTGTTTCTGCCACTGCCTTCTTCATCCGCGGTTAGCGAAGCTCTTTGAACATAAGGTCTGTTCCTTACCTGCTTTCGTGGCGCGCTCGAGGTTCCGCGGTCGGCCGAACCCTTCTGCTCGGCCAGACCGAGACTCGCTTCATCCCCTAATCGCGTGGTTGGTTCGAGGATCGCGTGATGATTCCGTTAAACGCGGCATCCTGTTCTCGGTTAACCGAACAGAACCGTCGACGTTCGCTCCACGCGTTTACCGCCGCGAGAGTTTTCAGCGTTTCGCGCAATATCACTTATCCTTTCATGCCGAAGATGGATCGTATCGGAATTAACCCTTTGAGAGCGAACGCCTTGCCAAGGCATGGAACTTTGCTACTTAGAATACCGAGTTGTGGATCTATGTTTGAACAACAAGGAAGCTACAAATCTAATTCCCCTAAATCGTCCACCGAAGCGTCCACGTTTGTATCATGGAATCAACTCCAGTTCCAGTGCGAATGATTAACGTGTCGGTATCACGGTGCTTACGCTATCTAGATACTCACGTAGCTAAACACTTCCATTGATCTTCCCGCTACAATTGTCCCGAAGGCGGATAACTCGCCGATCAGCTTCCTGCACCCTAGCTGCTCGTTGGCTGCGGAAACAAGGAAATCGGGGATGACCATACGAACGAGCGAGTAGGCTCGGTACAAGAGTTTATTAGGGTTTATTTACAGGGGGACAGCTTGCACAGCGATAGGTACGCGTCTCCACAACACAAGCATCAACGACGTAACGCTCTAGTCTAAGGCTAACCGCCTCGCGGCGATGATGATCGTCGATCAAGCTACCGTGGGAAGCCGCGAAGCAGCTCGATCGTCCTCGGGCCTAATCCTTTTCTCTAGAAACGGTCGACGTCGCTCCCTTCGCGTCTCCCCACGTCGAGTACGGATTCGGAACATAAATAACGATAACGATAACGGTAAGTCATGATAAGGAAATATACAACTTATGTTACACGAACGAAGTCGATGACACTACCTAGACCTGTAAATCCACAGCTATGTATATACCTATATACAATCAGACTCGCTTCGCGAAACGTCCTGTTCTCCGATCCGCGGACGAAAGTCCGTGCTCGCGTTGCACCACCGAACCGACGGTACGAACGCGCGTCCAAGCGTTCGTCGGCAGCCGAGCGTCCAGCGGCGTTTGATCTTCCGAACGGTTTCTCAGGCGTCGCCGCCGCTGGCGGACGACGGCAGGATGCATTAGCTAGGCGTCCAGCGGATTGGCTACTCGCGTTCGACCTCGGAGCGAGTGTCCGCGAGCGAAGAGGAGGCGTCGGCGCGGCGGGACGCCGACGAATGGTCCCCAGGTATCCTCGGATCTCGGATCGGGCGCGAGACGCGGTACGCGGCGACGACTACGAGGGCGACAGGTCCTGCGCGTCCCTGCCTAGGCTGTCCGTCGGCGAGGGGGTGGTCCTCCTCGCGGGCGACAGCGACGAGCCGACCGGCGTGGAGGACTTGGGCGCGACGGGGGTCGTGTGATAAGGGGAGAATCTGTGGTGCGCCAACGCCAGGGCGGAAGGGTAGAGGGGTCGCGGCGCCGCTGGACTCGTGCTCGGATTCTGCGAGCTGGACCCGGCTAGCTGCTGCTGCTGCTGCTGCTGCTGTTGCTGCTGTTGCTGGTGAGCGGCAGCGAACAAGGTCGGCCCTATCGACGACGCCCACCAGAGGTGTCCCAGCTGCTGCTGCTGCTGCTGCTGCTGCTGGTGCTGCTGCTGATGGCTGGTGCCGGCCGGCGACGCTCCCGGGTAGACCAAAGCCGGACCCACTAGCTGCGCGTACGGGCTGACCGCGACCGCGGCCGCAGCTCGCAGCAGCATCTGAGACCGCGCGGCCCACAAGGCCTTCTCCTCCAGGCTGAGGTTGCTCACCGCGCCGGCCTGCAGCTGATCCATCTCGAACGGAAGTCGATGGGGAAACCTCAGCGACTGCTGTTCCGCCAACATCGACTCCATTGTCTCCCTGAAAGGGAAGCTGCTCGATTATGCATTTTTTTCCTGCGATAGAGCGCCGATCGGGGCCCGATCGACTGCCCGGTTACTGGGAGCCGCTGATAACTTTGAACGGCTGACCGGGTTAATCTCTGCATCGAGAACCCCGGCTCGTCTTTATGGTTCTTTGATCTGTTTCAACCCATTAAGGCCCGGCGTACCCAGGCGGATCGGAGCGACGCGGAATAAGAACGATCCGACGCGATTTGTTTCGCGGCTACGGCCGCGCAATTTAATTTATATTTCTGCCCGCGTTATGGCGTGATCCGACGCGGGAACGCGCGGATGAATGAATAAGGAAACTGGAGATCGACCGGCGATAAGGGGAAATAGGAACGAGCGCGAGCGTCGTGCGGTTAATGGGTTGAAGAAGCTGTATCCCGTGCTGTACGCTCGAGGATCCGAGCTTTCATGGTCTATTAAGCTAAG